AGAAAAGGAAGTCCATTGCCCAAAAGTGTCTTCCCTCCCTCTCCCCTGTACCTCAAATGTGTTGCCATCTTTGCCCATCTGGTCTTCTTTTCCTCTATTACTGGTGAGGAATTAATTCTCTCTCCTCTGAGACTAATCCCTCATAATTATTACTCTTGACCCCAGTAATAATATGGCCCCTAGTTGTCCATTTGTTGTTTGCATTTAGTCTCTATGGAATCCTTCCACTCAATCTGTATATGTGCCCAACCTCCCTTTTGTTCTTGAGATCTCTCCCCCTTCAACTACCATTTCACCTCCATAACCATGCTTTTAAACTTCTCTGCAGAGAGGTGATCTAAGCTTGGCTTCTTGTTGTGACCAGCTGTTAATTATTATACAGTCACTGAAAGAAGAATACAAAATTCCTAGCAGTTAAATTCCTGATCCTTTCTTCCTGAGGAGGGAGATAAGATGTGGCTCCGACTCCAGGCCATGAGGATGTCCTGGTGACAGAAGGGATAATGTCCTGGAGCACTGGCTACCAACAGCAGACCACAGTCCTGCAGGTTGTTCTGTGTGTGTAGTTAGTTTATTCAAAATATTCAGCGATGAAGACAGCAAAAGCCTTTTTGAAAAGTAGGGAATTTACATAGCTATTCAGTTGGAAAAATTATAAAATCATTTAATGCCCCAAGGATAGCATAAACAAAGATGCTTTTATTTTTTAACCTCTGAATTTGTTCCTGAGAGTGTTCTGAATAATAATAATGCAGGAAAATTTCTCAGCAGCCTCTCCAGTATATTTTGCTTGTGCTGAAAAGCTGCAGTTAAGTCCTGAGTGAAGATTAGAACCGCGTGGGTCCGGGGGAAGCAGTGAGAAGCAGCTTCTTATAATCCACTTAATTTGTTCAGGAACAGAACACTAAATCAGCACCTAGCAAGGACACACCAGGATGAGGACAGATTGGATAGTGAGAGCAGTTCATAACTGAATGGCACTTGGGTATTTGTTTCTAAAGTAAAAAAAAGGAAATCTATGCAAACACTTTTCTAGTCTGTAGAATCCCAGGAAATCTATTTTGTAAGATCCTCCAGTAGAAAAAAGACACCTTGGACACATTTACATCCCAGCTATTGATATAATATCACATTATGTCCTCCTTCCTGCTAGGGTCTGGGGCCAGCCTGGGCCTTTCCCATGGCGGAGTCCTCAGAGGACAGCCTTAGAAAGTCTTTCATAGAACTGAAAGCCATTAACACATATGTACTTAGTGGACATGTATTGATCACTTTTTCTCAATTATAAGCAAAGGAAAATGACTGAAATTTCCCAATAGGAACTTATTTTGGTGAAAAATTATAATGTAGGTGATTCAAGCAATGAACAGTCATAGTGGGCAAACTTAAACCTAGTATTCCAGTGGGAGTTAGAAAGAGGTGTAAAAGGTAGGGTTTACCCTTTTTAAGTCCCCTCTCTTTAACCAATGTCCCCTCTTTTTTAGTCCCATCATAACAGTCAGTGTGGCATAGCAGAATGTTGAAAAACGTAGCTTGAGTGTGCCATAAGGTAAAAAAATTCCTTGTTACCACCCACCCAAAGGTTTGGCCCTGTGCCCTTTCTGTTGTCCAGGAGGGGAGAAGGCAGTGTTTATATCATCATATTTAATTTTTTTCTAGGATACCAGCAAACTGTATGAAAATTACAGACAATTAATCGTATGGACCAGTTGTCATTATTTTATTTGAACAGCAAAATATGGAGAATTTGTGTCTATTGGTTTTACATGTGTGATCCAACTGTATCTTTTAGTACACTATAACACTAGGTAAATAACTTCCCAAAGGTGTAGCCTGCATATAGGTCTGATTGCCTTTAATTAGGGGAAAATCACAAGGTCAAAATAGTAACAGACTTGAAGCCAGTTAAAAATCAGAGTAATCACCTGGGAAAAAATTAATCTTATAAATCTTCATTTGTAACCACAGAGTAATAGTTTCTTTGGCATCAAATAACTTTTTTTGTCTCTCTGTTTCTCAGATTAGAATGTGAACAATAATAGGAGATGTAGCATGGAAGAACTTCCAAGCTCTGAAAACTGAGGGGCTCCCCCAAACCCCATAAAAACCTAGAACAAGTGAGAACAAGAAAGCCACAGTTCAGCTCAAGAATTAAGTTTGGGTGGCCCTAATGTAATGACTTGGACTGATAGTGGTCTCAAAGTCATGTGCGGGGTAAATAGACCAACTGAGATATGAACCTTTTAGCAGTTTTTTTTCTGCAAATGAAGGATGAAATAATTTAGCACACAGCAAACAAGCAGCTGACCATCATTTTTGATTTTTTAAAGTAACCTTGTTTTTTAAAATAGGAAAATATCAGGAATAATAAGAACCAAAAATATAATGTGGTTTTCATTCTTCCTGAGGTTGTTTTTCATGAACTTTGAGAAAATTCAGATTTAAGGTGATTGCTTCCATGACTTTTTTTGGAGGAGTGTACTGGGAATTGAACTCAGGGCCTTATGAGTACTAGCTTATGCATGCTAGGTAAACGTTACTGTTGAGCTATAATCCCCAGTCCACTTTCATGATCTTTAAATCAACCTCATACTACAACCAAGGAAGAAGACATGAACACATGTGAACAGCTTGTTGTTTTTCTTGGTGGAGGGAACAGAGATTAGTTTTCTTTGTAGGATTGTGCCATATAATTTAGGGGAAAATGAGATATGAAAACGTGTGGTAGGGAGTCGTTCTGTGGAGTGGATTTTTAGCCCATAAGAGTTCTTTTCAGCTGTTACCCCCTTCCAGCTTGTCAGAATTTGAGAAATTTGCTCGTTTCCATTCACTTAAAGAGTGGGACCCAACAGAAGCAGGCTCTGGGATGTCACAAGGTATATTAGCCGTCCCATCCTGGAGCCCATTCCTAACAGGGAAATTACCAGTGCTTCCTACGCTCATGAAGCAACATGTGCTCTGCTAATTACTGTTCTCTGTGACTGCTGTCTTGAAACTCTCCATGACCCAATTGTGTGGAAATCCTGTTTGTCTGCCTCCCACCCTCTTCCCCAAAGAATGAAAAATAACAGATTGCAAGACTGGACTTGTTGAATGAATGTGATTCGCTTTTGTGGACCCAAAGGCATGAGAGTTTGCAGGGGCTGTCTGCGGGTAGATGTGTGAGGTGATACCACATCTCCAGATGAGTTTAATGTTGGTGATAACCTACCCAAAGGCACGCCCTCTCTTTCTCTGGGTTCCTGCAGTATGTGAGGTAGGTGGGCTGCCTTGCTTGGGGTGGATGGCCTTGTGGCCCTTTCCCTTCCTAATCACAGTCCCCCTGCATCTTAGTGACCCCTAATACTATAGCCTAGGCTCTGTGAGTTTTTGCTTTCTTTTTTCTGACTCAAACAACTAGTTAGCTTATGCTCTACAGGATGTATAATTTTTGTTGTTAATGTCCTTTCACTAGCAGCTTACATCTAAACAACTTCACCTTTTTTCTATCAAAACAACCTCCCTTCCCTGCGGGACTTCCTCTCAGTGCCTCAACCTCCTGTGCACCCCCCAGCAACTCACTTTGTCAAGATAGATTGAACGTTACTTTTTCACAAAGTGTAACAGGAGATCATTTTAATGGGGCCATTCAACTTGGATATGGGTTTTTAGGGTGACTTTTTGAATATATTAGTTATTGGGTAAGACATTTTCTTAGCATTACACACAAAAACAAAAAAGGAGGCCTAAAACAGCTTGCATGTCTGGAGAAAGAAACTCACTGAGCATGGACAGTAGTGCTTTCTATTCATATAGATATGATTGCCTTTAGAGAAACTAATTAATAAGGACACATCAGTTAACATATTGCCATTAGCAGGTGAAAATGCACATGGTAAAACAAATCACCCCTTAGAGAAATGTATGGAATTATTGTTCTTTACATAAGACTTCCTGATGTCTGCAGTATGATTTTTATTCTTTTGGTTCTTATTAAGCTTCAAAGGATAAAACTGAGTGTTAGGAGAGAGAGATTGAGACTAGAAAAACAAGAGAAAAAAATGATTCAATATTTTCCAAAAGCTTTCCCAGTTAAAATAACAACATCATCAACAAATAGTTGACCCCCAGCAGCACAAAAATCCCAGGAAAGACTCTGTTGTCCCTCTCTTCCTTTTGAACTATCCTTTTCTTCCTTTCCGTACATCTTGGATCTGTTAAAAGATTTTCAGCACATGGCCAAGCTGTAACAGATGGACAGAAAACTCTAATCTGTTCCTGTCTTAGTTTCAGAGAGGTCATGTGGCAATGAAGGGGTTGAAACTGTCAACACCTATCAGAGCTGGGAGATAATTAGTGTAATATAAATCTGAGAGCCCTGATTGATGACCACACAACAAATGAATTGGAGTAGGCTACTGTTTTGTCAGAAATCCTTACTAATCTTCTTCCAGCTCACGCTTTTTGAATGCCTATGTGAAAAAGTTATTGTTTATGCATACAAATGATAATAATTCAAGACAATTGTGGATTTTTTTTACTTTGGAAGATGTGTTTTGAATTAGCACTTGCAGCTAGAAGTTGAATAGAAAAGTACGCCCTTTGGGCACGAGATAGGAAGCCTCTAGAATGTCTTGCTGGGTGTTGACTCTTGCTTTGTTACTCAGGTTGCTCAACCGTGTAGGACTGGATAGTGTGATTGAGGAGTGCAAACTATTACAAGGTGTGCTTTTATTTAATTATTTTTACTTTTCTTACAAGAAACATAAAAGGGAAAAGAAGTAGACCACTTTTAATAAAACACAGGCTTGAGAAGAATGAAATACACTCTTCTCTTGTTAGCTTGAAAGAGAAAATTGATCCACGTAAAGCAGAGATCTTAAAGCTGTTTTTTCAAAAGCCCACATGGGAACCAGAAAGGGACAAGCGTGACTTGAAAAGAGGAGCAGGAATCCATGCTGGACTCGGGGAAGAAGGGGTAAAGAAGAACTTCAATAACCCAGCTATGTTCAAATCCACAGGTCCCAATGGCCGGCATCCTAGAGTACTTAATGAATTGGCCGAAGTCTTCACAGAACCGCTAGATATCATTTTTGAGAACTCGTGGAGGACTGATGAGGTGCTGAAGACTGGAAAAGGGCAGATTTAGAATCTTCTTTCAAAAAGGGAACTGGATGGTGACCCTGGAAATACTCATCAGCTTTAACTTTTGGCTTGGAAAAGTTCTGGAATAATCAACTTAGTGAACTGGGTAACTGACTTATAATAGCTAGAAGTAAGGCAGTGAAATCTCACACTTAAGGGAGTATGTAGCTCATCTTTGAAAGGACACGCCATTGTGAGACACGGTCTTATGCCTATCTTGAGATTCTCCCCTTCACTCTGTGGACTCTTAATGAAAATAGATGGGGTTGATTAAGGCATTTGAGTAATTAGTAATTGTAAGTATAATACAAAAAAGTGGATTTATGATGACAACTAGTAATTATATCATTTCTAAATTAGCTTTTTTCTTGAGAACAATAGACTAAATTTCACATTTTAATATACATGTTCCACTTCCTGTTTTCATTAAGTTATGATATTTCATGTAATTCTGTATAGAACAGTTTGGTGAAGGAATTCTTCTTTTAAGGTACTTTCTATAGTTATTGCATAGATAGGCGTGTTCATAAAGCAGACAAGTTAGGGAACATCACCAAGGGAGGAAATGCCTTTGACTTCTCTTTTTGAATTTGATCTGGCTGAGGATGGGTGGTGACATTATAAGGGTGTCATCCTCTGACACATATTGATCAAGTGTCAGCTGTTTTTATTCAAAGTGAGTTTTACTCCCTGTGTGGTGACTGCTCCCACCCAGCTCTTGCTGAGCCCCAGTGTCTCGTCTTCCCTCCCTCCATGGCCCCCAACTGCAGGTCTTGGAGGAGTGGGGTTGTGACAGTAGTATAAACAGCTGTGTCCACCACAGTCACAAAGGAGAGTAGATTGCAGGAGTTGGGGAGGAATTTCTCTAGTTCTTTTTGCTGTTTCCTTGGGGTGTTGGTAGTTTTGTTTTCTGCTTAGAAAATATAGTCATGTTGATGGGGTCAAACCTTAGTTGAAAGGAGGCCGTGGAAGAGGTGCATACTGCAACAAACTCCTGGGGGTGGCGAGTTCTGAGAGCCCCAGCAGCTGTGCATTCTGCAATCTTCCTCCCACTACTGAGAAGTGTGTAAGAGATGTAAGCCTACATCAGAAGAGTCATGGATAAGAACAGGATGCTGTCAAAGGAAAAAGATTGTCATTCATCTTGTCTTGCCTAGGAATGGATAGGCAATTAAGGAGAAACTAGGTCTCCCAAGGACATTCTTTTTTTTTTGTTTGAATTTAGGGCCTCATGCTTGCTGAACAGTGCTCTACCACTCAAGCCACAGCCATTTTTGCTTTTAGTTATTTTTCAGATAGCGTGTCTTCACTTCTTTGCCCCAGCCAGCCTCACACTGTGGTCCTCCCACCTCTTTCTCTCTTATAGTTGGGATTACAGGCATGAACCTTAAGTTCACTTTCTTTCTTGATGTGGAGTCTTGATAACTTTTTGCTTGGCTGGCCTTGAACTGTGATCTTCTCATTCTCTGCCTCCCAGTCTAAGGGCATTCTTAACAACAGTTTAGCTACCTTTTAAAAAATGAGTGAAGGCACTGGGTAAAATCTGTCTCACTCTTAAATACAACTGCATGATTAGTTGTCCTTTAAACTACTCTTAGCTTGCAGTTTTGTAGGGATCTTACTCCAGTCAGTCGTTCACCACTTTTTCAAGTGAAGTAGTCTAAAATTTCCAAGTGAATTTCTTTTTTAAGGGATGGGGGAGTCTGTATAGATTTCTGATACAATTTATTGTGATAATAAATGGCTTCCTGTTTGAGACCTCGTTTTCAGGTACAGCATCGATGGCAGATTTATTTCACAAACGTACATTTGCATGCATTTGTTGAACTGAGACTAGAAAGGATCCAATTTCTGAAAAATCTGTTATTTCACTACAGGCATTATGGTGCAATTTATTGCAACCAAAAAAAGGCTCTGAGGTCATTTCAAGTTTTATTTTCTATTCAAGTAATGTCTGATTTCAACTGTTTGGCCAAATTTAAATCTCTTTGTGTGCACTGTTAGAATTAAAAATTTACAATAGTCTGCTTGAAAGACTTCTTCGTTAACACCAGAGGAAGAAAACTTGAAACAGACGAAGGAATTCCTCTGCATTAAAATCAAGAGAGGTGGGATGGAGAATATAAAAGAATTCTTCTTACCATGAACTGCATCTATTGAGAGAATTAAGCTTAAGAGAAGTAAGTTATTCAGTGTTTTTTTTTCTTTTATCAAAACACTGCTGAAATCCTGAATATTTGAATGAAAATGAAGTACCCATTAACCAAGGGACAGATATGTCAGCAAGACTCAGGCCCTGATTATCCTGATTTGTATTTCCTAGAACATTTAGTGATTAATTAGAGGCTTTTACTTTATAATTTTGTGGAGTTTGGAGGATTCTAGCAAAATTTCCTTCAATTCATCTCAAATTTTTGGGGGCATAGGTGGAAATTTTATTCACATAAATATTTCTTAATTGGGTATGATGGTACAAGCCTATAATTCCAGCACCTGAGAGGCTGAGGCAGGAGGATTGTGAGTTCAAGACCAGCCTGGCTACATGGAGAGTCTGTCAGAGAGGGGGAGAGAGAAATATATTTTGACCTCAGGAAAATGATTTTAAGGGCTCCTACCATTGAGGAGTTAGAGCCAAAAATCTTGAAAAAACCTGAAGTTATTGCAGTTCAGTGAACTCAAGCAAGTTTCTTAATCCAGAGAAATTTACAGCATATCTTGGTGTTATAAAATAGCAACAATAAACATCGTGTTTTTATTTTAGGGTTCCTCAGACCTTAGTTCCAATTCTAGAATTATCCTAATAGTGCTTTCCTGTAGTGAATCTGTTAGAAGCATAAGCTGTAGCATAGTTTAAGGAACGATCTTAAACACTTCTGGAACTTATTAAAGCTTCTTTTCCCTTGTCCAGAAAATGGGAAAAATAAATACCTCCTACAGTTCTCAAGAGGCTTATGAGTTCTTGGCTGAGGACTGGCATTAGTAGTGCTGACCACCTCTCCCTTCCCTTCCTGACTTTTAGTTAGCTTCTTTATTCTCTTCTGTGGATGAGATTACATCAACGTGAACTGCAAAATGCAAGCATATATTGACGTGTCCCATTGCTACCCATTGCTTCAGACCCCTCTCCTTTCTATTAGGAGGAATCCTAAAAGGCTACCAGGTCTGATCATAGTGGGACTTCAGTAAATGTTTGGTGATTGAATGAAAAGAAGGTGATTTTTAAGAAACAATGATCAATGTCTTAGAGGCCAGCACTTCACAAGACCAGACCCAAAGGAAGGTATTTTCTTATCGTTCTGATTTCCATAACAGCTTCAGGTTCATAAGTTTGGGGTACAAATGAGTGAGTGGCAGATGGGCATTTTCCTTGAGTTTATGCCTCTGATTTACAAAGTAAGAGTGCAGTGGCCTTTCCCCAATTCCTTCTGGGAAGAATCCAGCTAAGAGATGACACAGATGACGGTGCATCAGCCAGCTCTCTTCTGTATTCAGAGAAACCAGCTGTGCCAGTGGCCAGGAGCACCTGCCTGAGAATTTTTCTCTGTGAAGAGCCAGAGTGTTTGTTCTGCTTCCTTGCATGGGGAGGTGGGAGGGCTGAAGAAGAACAAAAAGAGAAGATAAAGGAAATAAGGTTTTGGAAAAAATGCTTGACTTTTGTCAATTGTTACATGTAATATTTAATTCAGTATCAAAATATCATTTTGATATGCATATGGGCAGTTTCTCAATTTCAAAGTAAATAAAGGACAAAGAGTAGACTGTTGTAGCCAGCCTAACTGAAGTTAGGACCTGACTCTAAAATTGCCAGTTTTCAGTTCCAACCAAGTGGCAAGAAACAGAAAATCTTTTTTTTTTTATTTATTTTTTTTTTTGTGGCATTACCAGGACCTTGCACTGGAGGACAGGCACTCTGCTACTTGAGCAACAGTCCCAGTCAAGAATTGGAAAAGTCTTCGAAAAGACCAGCTGTTGGTGTAGAATAAAGCCATGTGAGCACACACACAGTGGTGTTTCATTAAATAAAACAAGTTGTGCAGAGCAAAGCAACTTGGGCTGTGCCTTTTAGAATTTTCCAATTTTACCACTTCCTCTCAGTGTCATTAATTACATAAACCTACATCAAATATTTTACACTACTTGATTCTGCAGCTATATATTTATTCATCTCATCAGATAAAATCAAATAACTTTCTTGTCGATGGTCATTAGTTATTATTTTAGGTATTTCCATAAAAAGCCAAAGGAGGGAAAGTAGCAGTTAGTTTAGAAAAATTAGCAACCTAACTTTCTCGCTTAACTTGTTGAAATGAGTATTTTCTTTTGAACTGTTTTAAGATTTGGGAGTGAAGTTTTGTTTTTTACTATTGCTGTTAAATTTTTTTTTAAGAGGAAAATAAGAAGTCAGATCCCACAGTCAAAACTGGGTGGCTTTTTTTTTTTAAAACAATTTTGCCAAAATTTCTTCCATTGGGCTGAAAAGAAAACAAGTCAACTTCTATACATTTAAGATGAGAAATGTCTCTTATAGTTAAATTCTGTATCAGGCCCTTTATAAAATGAATTTTCCCTTTTTAGTCCAAAAATGAAATGTTGACTCTCAAGGACAATAAATACTGAGAAGGACAAGTGCTAGGCCTTGTTCACTGGTCCTTGCCCTGTCCCTGGAACATGTTGGGAGACCCTGTTCAGGTTACCAAAGCCATCATTCATTAAACAGTTCTGCCCATACAGAAGTGAGAAATCTACATGGGTTTCCATAAGTAGCCAAGCACCATTCATCCTGATTGAAAGCTAGCCATTGGTTTTGTAAACATAATTGCAAATTGACACTGTTTCCTTTCAGTTATGTTTTTTAGAAGGGACTCTATTGGAAGACTATGAAAAGCCTAATTGAAACATCATTGTCAAGCATCTCAGTGTCATGTGTGCCCCCACAGCC